TGTACCTACTGCTCTAGATCTTGGTGGAGCCTGGCGATGAAGCCGAGTCGAGCCGAGCCGAGCTGAACCGCGTACACCGCGAAAAACAGGTCACGAAGTGTTCCTCGGCGTGTTAATCGCGCGAGTGCGTGCTCTCGCTCTGCGCGACGCTGGGTCATGCACGGCCGCCACTCGTGACTCGGATATTTTAAAAACGAATGACGGCGAGGTAGTATTTTCGCGGTACGGCCCGTTTGAACAGCTGCGCAAATAGCGGATCCTCCTCGCGATGCGCGGCGTCGGCGGCGCGATTTTTGTCTCTCCCGTTTCAGCTCGCGCCGAGCCGAGCCGCGCCGAGCCGCGCCGCGCCGCTCTGCGCCCCGCTCCAAGTATTTTTATTGCGCTCCCGATTGCTTCACGCCGACGCCGGAATCATCGGGAATTAACACCGATCCCCGGTTATTTCCGTTATACCAAGTGGTAAACGGACTCTCGCCGAATCGTCGGAACGTTCGGCGCGATTAAATCGTTAGCGGCCGATTAAAGTTCGTCGGCGTTTCTGGCAAGAACGGCTTGTCGCTCGACGGAGAACGTCGCGGCAGCTCCGCGAACGGGATACGTTCGTATAAAACGCAGAGAATTTGATAGAGAGTATGCAGCATGCCGCGAGCAAGGTAACGCGGATGACGCAGAGAACGAAATTATTAGGTGTGTTAAGGATTCTGTAGAACAAAAGTGGTCGAAGAAGAAGCGACTGGCATGTGCTTCCTCCGAAAAATTATGGAATTGTATTTGTAATAAATTCTTTCCAATTGTCCCACAATTTTTAAACAAAAATGGACAATTTGGGAAGAGGCGATACGATTATTCGAGCCTTGCGACTCGTTTTTATATCGATATAATTGTCTTTGTTGTAATAAAGATTGTAGTAAAAAGATATTGCTCGAATTAATGAATTTATTTAACGACCTCCGGTGGAAGCATCTTTATAAATTCAGCGATTGTAGAATGGAAATTATCGAAACAGTCGTTTGACCGGCGATGGTACGGTTAGTGTTAAATAATGCGTTGTTAACCCCTTGCGCTATAAACAAGTCAGGCACGCGACGAAGATCTGACACACATACGCAACCGAATATGAATATTATACGTAAATTTGATTCTTCCGTTATCACGATCTAGGAAGGAAAATAAACGAAGGCGCACACACGAAACAAACATTGTCCCGTTCCATTGCTGACATTATTAAGAATGGGTATGAGTGGGGGCATTATTAAGAAATTATGGTTGCAACATCTTTCTGCTGTTAAATGGTACAATCTTTGTAGCAGATTTCATTCGGAAATGTTGACGAATATCGTCAGTAGTAGACCGCGGATGTTTATGAAAATTCTGCCTTTGATTCTACGAAAATTGATATCGAAATAATATTTCCTTCGACAATTAAAAAGATCGCGTATCGGACAGCGAATTATTGTATACGCATTTGTGGCAAAAATTGATTGGCGAAACATAAAATCGTGAACAGATTAACGCTAAAATTACGAAACCAGACAAAATCACTGATTTCCGATCTTTTCTCTCTTTCACGTTTACTGAAATTATACATATATCTTTCTCTGAGAAATGTTCTTATGAACTTCATCACTGAAGCATACATTATAATTGAAATCGTACAAAGTTCGAGTAAATTCAAGCTTGTTGTTATAAAATAATATACGTTGGTAACGTTTCCTGCTCGATAGTCCTAGTTCTAGTGTTGTAAGCATTAATTCAAACTTGATAAAATTATTTGGAAGTGAAGAGATATTGCACTTGTCTCCTACGCTTTGGAATTGACGCAGACAATTTTAATTTTGCATACAGATTGGACACGATATACAGAGTGACCCAAAATTATGGTATTTCCGGGAAATGTGGGGTTCCTGAGATCATTTGAAGCAACTTTTTCCTTTACAAAAATGTTCTCCGAGGCATCGTTAACGAGTTATTAAGGAGAAACACTGACCAATGAGAAGCGAGCTCGGCTAGCGCGAGGCGGTCAAGCCAACGAGCGCACAAAGGCTCGGTTCCGTTCATTGGCTCGCCCGCCACGCGCCAGCTGATCTCGCCTCTCATTGGTCACTGTTTTTCGGTAATAACTCATAAAGGAAGCCACGGATTGCATTTTCGCTAAGGAAAAAGTTACTTCAAATGACCTCATGAACCCCTCGGTTCCCGGAAATACAATAATTTTGGGTCGCCCTGTATAATTAGCCTTTGTTCATTTCTACGTTTCCTTGGCATTTGAAAAATCCGCAAATGCCACGAACGCATAAAGAATCGTGATCTAGTCATTAGTATCATTATATTCACGTTTGAACCCATCGCTCGAAGCTCACATAACATTAGCATCCCAGTCAATTACGCTGCGTTGCAATCGATTACGGTACTAGACTAAATCCTTACCCGATTTGTACAATAAATCCTGTTATATACGGACGCGTGGTAACATGGCTATGTGTTCGGATAACGGAGCTAACAGATCGTTTAGGTAATCGAGATTCTAGCGAACACCCGTACACGAAATCTTACAAGTTTTGTAGCATTTCGACTATACAGAGTAAAGTTGCCTAATACGAGGAGATTTCTCCTAATATAAGAGCTTATTTCCGAGTATCACAACGACGCTTCTTTGTTCCACATTAATTCGCATTTTTCCTTGTTTCGTCAAATTGTTGGCGTTCAAATCAGTCTAGCGTCATAGGCAACCATTTTTGTAAAATACATTGCGAAAAGTTTTCGAAGGGGTTCGATTATATTACAAATAGCTTCAAAATAGTAAATGTATAATTATTTCCATAAATATATAAAATATTTCCATAATATTCCATCCATAACATTATATTCCATTTATATATATATTTCCATAAATATATAAATACCATTTTCAATTTGTCGCAATTTCATATGTCCAACATGTGAAAAAAGGCAAAGGAATAAACTCCCTGGAAAAGCCAAACTGCGTCTCATATATTAGAAACCCATTTCCTCGAATCATTAGTTATTCCATTATCACGAATATCCGTAATCGAACACTTTTTAATAAAACTGGGTTTAATAAAAAAAATTATAGGTTTTTAAAACAATCAGTCTCAAAGTAGAGTCTTTATCCCGATTTCTGGATTCGGTAAGCTAGCGATTACCGATTCTGAACAGATCTTTTACGAAGATCCTACCTAGAAGTAGGTAATGGGTGTAGAATTAGGGTTCCAATGGGCATTCTTGATCGGAGACACGCTGTCGGAGACGGTACGGGGAATCGCCGCTCCCAGTGACTAAAAGCAACATTAAAATGTTGTCTAATGAACGCGTTGGCATCGGGAAAGAAAAAAATCCAGTTCGAACAAAAGGAGTTCTGCTCCGGTTTGTCGCACCTCCGGGCGATGCAATCGCGTTGTTCCCGATTCCCCGACTGACCAGCATATTCCTGTGAGATCTCGAGCGGCCGAGAAGCTCCGCGCTTACAATTAACACGGTGTTAGAATAGAAGAAGACGAAGGCGAAGACGAAGACGAAGACGAGATCCGAAAGAGGAACGAACCTGAGAGATTGGACGAGGAGGAGGAAAGAGATGGAGAGAAAAAGACAGAGAAAGACAGAGGGAGAGAGAGAGAGAGGAGAGGAAGGAGGGGGGAAAGGAGACGAAGCACAACGAGGCAAGTGTGGGTATATAGTTATAGCCGCCGTGGCCCTGATACGATGTTACAGTCTGTAGGCAGTCAGGAATCGGGAGGGTCGCCCCACAGCTAACACGTGCAAGGCGCACGTGCACTCCGAGAGACCACTCTAGCCTCTGGCGCACAATCATCGGATGCCAAGATACACTCCACGGAATAATTTTCGAGGGGCACTCCCATGCCTTCCTCCTTCGACTCGCACAGGCACCGCGAAAAAAGAAATCAGCCACGAAGGAGAACGAGTTTCGTCGTTTTAGCCTGCCGCACGCGGAACATCCTTGCGCCTTACCGACAAGTAGACCGCGTACGCGACAGCGAACAGGATCGGATAATTTTGCATACTCCTCGAACATGCTCCTCCTTTTGCTTTGCGAAAATTCATACGCGCAACATATGTATACGTGCACGTAGGATCCGATAATGCGCGCGCGCGCTTTCGATTTTTCGATGCTTTTACGTCAGTTTGAAAATGTCGAGGAACTGAACGGTAGCTTACGATCGAAACCGTTTGCACGATATATGTAATAATTCTCACAATCAGCAGCTTGATCTCTGGTCGTCGGACCGTCGCAACAGCAAATTTTAAATGCTTCTTATCCCAAGCTGCCCGATTCCTCTTTCTTAGCCGTTGTGTGCTGCGAGTTGGAAACAGACGATTTCGTAAGAGACGTTTGAAAATAATATTCGCAACCGGATCGCGGATTTTATGCACTTTTTGCCGAGAATGATTGGATCGAGAACGAAATACATAAATTTTTCATATTATGCAACAGCTTATCGAAACTATTAAAAGAGGAGAAACATTTTCAACTGACTCACGTTTCTTCTCGATTGATTTCGACGATTTTCATTTCGCTAAAAAAATCCACGGTCTATTCGATGATTACATAACGTTTTGGAGACGATAATTGGATGACCCGTTTTCGATGAAAAACTCTGCGCAGTCATTGAACCGAAACAACGGTTGAAAACAAAGAGGGGTCCTTTTAAAGGATCGAAAAGTCTACGGAGAGAAGAACAACCAAAATTGAACTGCGTTTTTCGGCGGAAAACGCTTGTCTTCGAGAAACCGAGTTACAAAACACCGTCGTTGCAGCTACATTCGTCGTTATTGCAGCAAGCTTTGCAACTGCGACGTGTAGACGTTGATTGAATCACGCGTAATATCGAAGTAACCTCGATATGCTTTCCGCGAGGACCGAATGTCGGAATAGTTTCGCGCGCATGGAATCGAATCGAAAAGTGCAATTCATGCAGAAAAGCCGTGTTGCACGGTGAAGCGGCCTTGCACTTAGGCTGCGTCGGTGTCGTGCGGCAGTCGTGGCACAAATTTGTTCGCGCGAGTGTACGGGAGCGTGTGCGAGGTGAGTACCTACGCAGGCTATCGCGACGGACGACGAACGCGATGCGGCAGGAAGCACACGATTACGGGCCCGCTTTGGGGTCGTTCGTGCACGGTGCATCGGTGCATCGGTGCATCGGCGCATGCATGTGCGGCAGCTGCAGAGATGCGCGCAGTTTCACCGGTCGCAATCTCGCCGGCCCGATTTCGAAGGGGCGAGCACGCAACTGCGCTAATTATAGGTGCATACTCTAGCCTTTCTTTGCGACAAATCGTGGACCGGCAGGGAATGCATATACATACATACGTACGCGTGCACGCGGTCCGAGGATTGTCCTGGCTCCCGCGACGGCTAATTGAACTGTGTCATCGTCGGGCACGCGTCGAACCAATTATTCGTCTTCCACGTACCTCGGCTAATTAGCGGCGCGTCTTCGAATCTCGGATTCGAAGCGAGCACGATTTCCAAACTTTTCGCTCCAACGATTTTCTTACGGTGTTCGTGAGAACTTAGGCTAATCAGAGCTCTTAAGTACAATTTTATTCGGATCACCGTGTTAGAAATAAAGATTTTATCGAATCAAATTTATCATATTTTTTATATTTATCATATATTTATATATATTTATTTATATTTATATTATATTTTTATATTTATCATATATTTATTTATANTGCGGCAGGAAGCACACGATTACGGGCCCGCTTTGGGGTCGTTCGTGCACGGTGCATCGGTGCATCGGTGCATCGGCGCATGCATGTGCGGCAGCTGCAGAGATGCGCGCAGTTTCACCGGTCGCAATCTCGCCGGCCCGATTTCGAAGGGGCGAGCACGCAACTGCGCTAATTATAGGTGCATACTCTAGCCTTTCTTTGCGACAAATCGTGGACCGGCAGGGAATGCATATACATACATACGTACGCGTGCACGCGGTCCGAGGATTGTCCTGGCTCCCGCGACGGCTAATTGAACTGTGTCATCGTCGGGCACGCGTCGAACCAATTATTCGTCTTCCACGTACCTCGGCTAATTAGCGGCGCGTCTTCGAATCTCGGATTCGAAGCGAGCACGATTTCCAAACTTTTCGCTCCAACGATTTTCTTACGGTGTTCGTGAGAACTTAGGCTAATCAGAGCTCTTAAGTACAATTTTATTCGGATCACCGTGTTAGAAATAAAGATTTTATCGAATCAAATTTATCATATTTTTTATATTTATCATATATTTATATATATTTATTTATATTTATATTATATTTTTATATTTATCATATATTTATTTATATTTATATTATATTTTTATATTTATCATATATTTATTTATATTTATATATATTTATCATATTTTTTGTCGATAAAATTTTATTCGACATTATCGAATACAAATTTATCTAGATACAAATTTTACCCGAATAAAATTCTATTCGAATAAAAATTTATTCGTACGGGAATTCATGCGGAATATACTCGATTTGAATGAAAATGATAGAATGTAAAGTGTCTTTTTTCTCGTAGTTTCTTAAATGTTGCATCAGGAACTAGATCTAATCTTTCTACTAGTGTAGAGGAGGACATCGGCAAATTTATAATTTTATAATATAATTAGTTGGAAATTGAACTGATCCTGAATGCACTCGTTTAAATGTATTCTTGTAAAATTACGTAAAAGCGAACGCAGCGAACAATAATTCCCATTATTATTCGAATAATTTTGCCGTCTCTGCTCGAATAGCTTCTTCGAATGAAAAATTATGCGCATAATAGATAGCGACGCAAGTAGATATAATCATTTACGACGAACAATGAATAATCGTTATTCGAATAAAATATTCGACTAAAAAGAATTCGTTCGGATAATTATGTTAAATAAATATTTATTCGGACCAATTCGAATAATGTCCAAGTCCGACGCTAATGGTGATCGAATCGCATGGATCTGACTAAAGAAATACGTGCACATCTTTGGTAAGTGCATTGTAATTCAGTGTCCTTGATCTTATTGTCTGAAAAAGTATAATGATTAATATAGAAATACAGAAGAAAGTAAAAGATTCCTTTACAGAGTTACTAAAATGAGGAAGAGAGACAGAGGCAGCAAGACGGGGATAGAAGTAGTAAATTTAAACATTATAAAATATAAAATATTTCAATTTTTACGCTTACTACAATAACGTCTGTATCTTGCAATTCTTTTTATTTCGCACACAAAGATTAAACGCTTCAAAGGTTAACAGACTGGATTTTTATCGGTTTGTGGCACGAGCATACTTGTCAACTATAAAAAAAAAACGTTTGCATTACCAAAAATTCAGTGAACATACGAAGTTGAAACTAAGTTTCTTTTTTACCAAATTTCGATGTTACTCTGAAGTCAGAAAGAACTCATTCCTAATACATATAAAAATGAAACGAACGGGGGTACAATACTTACACTTCCAACGATTTTTTAAATATCATCAAATCTGATAATATCGAAATTATTTCACATCGTGGTAAGGTAACTGTTGTTGGTCAAAGTCGGCACACGATTGCAAATGCTTGAATTTCTAGTTACGCAGCAAGCGACGAAAGTTTTCGTCCTTACTTCGACTTGTACGAAATAATTGATGAAAGTGAGAGCTCGCTCCGCAGATCAGCAGTCTAATAATAACACTGCGACGATAAATAAAACGAGCGTATTTGTACTTAAGAAAACGGGCGACCGTACGTTGCGATAAGTGACAGAAAAATACGGTGACTCACGTATTTGTTCACGGGAGCCTATTGCATTTGCTGAAATTCCATGGAAGATTTCGGATCCCGTGCTAAAATTAAGAGGAACGAACGCGTCGCGGAACGATTCTAGAACGAAAGCGCAACCGCAGATGAATAAATAACCGTCGCGTAACGATTCGTTCGTTTCCGTCTTTTTTGGAAAGTGCACGCGCGAACAAACGCCGTGTGAGTCACTGCGAACGATCGGGCCGGGACCCGAGGAGTTGAGGAGTTCGATAAATCGCGTTAATTTGCACGTTTCTTTCGTGCCGAGATAATAGGACGAAAGCGCGCCGTCATTCGTCGAATTATGTAATCAACCTTTCAGTCAACCGTTTATCACGAAGCGTCACGAAATGTTCTTATGTAGTCCCGACATAACCTTCGCATCGAGCCGAGCCGATTAATTATCTGTGCCAAAAGATCGGGCTCGATCACATTTTTCGGCGTCGAACACGCCGATGAACGGGATCAACCTCAGTACACGTGTTCGTAGATCCAGATACGTATCGCGGGGATCCATAAGCACGAGATCCAGCAACTATCCGCGTCTCCGCATCGCGAAAAATTCACGGATTCGATCCGAAAAATTCAAGGATTCGATCAGTTTAGGATCCAACGGTGCGATTTTAGAAACGTACGTACATGTGGATTCCAAATATTGGGTTGGCAACTAAGTAATTGTCGATTTCAGTTATACATGTCTCTCACTCCCATTTTTATGATATCCATAAATGTTATATTATAAAATTATGATTATTATTATTGTGTTATTTTTTATTATCCGTGAATGTTAGCAACTGGACAAATTGAATGCAGCGGTCAAGGAAAAGCGACCAGAATTGGTCGATCGTAAAGGTGTCATTTTCCACCAGGACAATGCTAAGCCGCACACGTCTTTGTCTGTCTCTTATACACATCTCCGTAAATGTTATATTATAAAATTATGATTATTATTATTGTGTTATTTTTTATTATCCGTGAATGTTAGCAACTGGACAAATTGAATGCAGCGGTCAAGGAAAAGCGACCAGAATTGGTCGATCGTAAAGGTGTCATTTTCCACCAGGACAATGCTAAGCCGCACACGTCTTTGTCTGTCTCTTATACACATCTCCGTAAATGTTATATTATAAAATTATGATTATTATTATTGTGTTATTTTTTATTATCCGTGAATGTTAGCAACTGGACAAATTGAATGCAGCGGTCAAGGAAAAGCGACCAGAATTGGTCGATCGTAAAGGTGTCATTTTCCACCAGGACAATGCTAAGCCGCACACGTCTTTGTCTGTCTCTTATACACATCTCCGTAAATGTTATATTATAAAATTATGATTATTATTATTGTGTTATTTTTTATTATCCGTGAATGTTAGCAACTGGACAAATTGAATGCAGCGGTCAAGGAAAAGCGACCAGAATTGGTCGATCGTAAAGGTGTCATTTTCCACCAGGACAATGCTAAGCCGCACACGTCTTTGTCTGTCTCTTATACACATCTCCGTAAATGTTATATTATAAAATTATGATTATTATTATTGTGTTATTTTTTATTATCCGTGAATGTTAGCAACTGGACAAATTGAATGCAGCGGTCAAGGAAAAGCGACCAGAATTGGTCGATCGTAAAGGTGTCATTTTCCACCAGGACAATGCTAAGCCGCACACGTCTTTGTCTGTCTCTTATACACATCTCCGTAAATGTTATATTATAAAATTATGATTATTATTATTGTGTTATTTTTTATTATCCGTGAATGTTAGCAACTGGACAAATTGAATGCAGCGGTCAAGGAAAAGCGACCAGAATTGGTCGATCGTAAAGGTGTCATTTTCCACCAGGACAATGCTAAGCCGCACACGTCTTTGTCTGTCTCTTATACACATCTCCGTAAATGTTATATTATAAAATTATGATTATTATTATTGTGTTATTTTTTATTATCCGTGAATGTTAGCAACTGGACAAATTGAATGCAGCGGTCAAGGAAAAGCGACCAGAATTGGTCGATCGTAAAGGTGTCATTTTCCACCAGGACAATGCTAAGCCGCACACGTCTTTGTCTGTCTCTTATACACATCTAGAGGTGTATAAGAGACAGGCTATATGGTGGGTGTAACATCAATTCCCAACCAATATCCATCAATTTTTGCCGAGTGGACAAAGACGTGTGCGGCTTAGCATTGTCCTGGTGGAAAATGACACCTTTACGATCGACCAATTCTGGTCGCTTTTCCTTGACCGCTGCATTCAATTTGTCCAGT